TACTCTGGTCGTACTGACGGTCTTACTGAGCGTCGTGAGCCTGCGTCTCGCCCTGTGTCGCCTGTCCGTCCTGCTAGCACTAGTGCTCGTAGTTCGCGTCCACGTCCTCCTCCTGCCCCTGGCACGCACCGGATGTCTCTGGGTCTGTCTACTGCTCCTCTGCGTGCTCCTTTGACTTCTCCTCCTGCGTTTTCTCTTCCTACTCTTCCCGACCCTGCGTCGGACTCTCTTCGTGCTGCCAGTCCTACTGTCACGCGTCTCCTTGCTACTGCCGTCACTGACCCTTCCTTCGAGTCTTCTATTGCGTCTGCCCTAGTTGCTGAGCTTGTCGACTTTGCTGCTCGCTGTCGTCTAGACTACGCTGCGAGTCTTGTCGCTGAGTCTGAGTCTGTCTGTCCTCCGTCCGTCGGGGGTGCGTGTGCCCTTGGCACGGACGTCCTAGAGGACAGGAACGAGGAGTTTCAGTGCTTGGATGCCGCTTCACCTCATCTCGCGTCTGTACTGCTAGCCCCTGAGGGAGACCCGGATGCACTAGACATCCCGACTCAGCGCTCTTACGCGGAGGCGATAGAGGGTCCCTACTCCTCTCAGTGGCAGGCAGCTATGGATGCAGAGATGGCTTCCTGGAAGTCCACAGGCACCTACGTTGACGCTATCCCCCCTCCTGGGGCGAACATCGTCAGTGGCATGTGGATCTTCAGGGTGAAGCGGCCGCCGGGTTCTCCGCCTGTCTTCAAGGCGCGTTACGTGGCTCGTGGCTTCGGTCAGCGGCAGGGAGTTGACTACTTTCAGACCTTCTCCCCCACCCCGAAGATGACCACTCTTCGGGTAGTGCTGCACGTTGCTGCTCACCGGGACTACGAGCTTCACTCTCTCGACTTCAGCACTGCTTTCTTGCAGGGCAGCCTGCACGAGGAGATCTGGCTGCGTCGCCCACCTGGCTTCACCAGGTCTTTCCCTCCTGGTACCCAGTGGAGTCTCCGGCGTCCAGTCTACGGTCTCTGCCAGGCGCCGCGTGAGTGGCACGACACACTGAGGACTACGCTGGCGGCACTTGGGTTTGCTCCTTCTACTGCCGACCCGTCGCTGTTTCTGCGCACCGACACTTCTCTGCCGCCGTTCTACATCCTCGTGTACGTCGACGACTTGGTCTTTGCCACTGCTGACACTCCGGACTTGCCTACATGAAGTCTGAGCTGCAGAAGAGACACACGTGCACTGACCTAGGTGAACTGCGCAGCTACCTTGGCTTGCAGATCACCCGGGACAGAGCACGCCGCACCATTACCCTGACTCAGTCACACATGGTGTAGCAGGTCCTTCAGCGCTCCGGCTTCACGTACTCCTCGCCTCAGGCCACTCCTCTGTCTACTCGCCACTCGCTCTCAGCTCTGTCTTTGGATGAGTCCGTAGAGTCGAGTGGCCCATATGCAGAGCTTGTTGGCTGTCTCATATACCTGATGACCTGCACACGACCTGACCTTGCATACCCTCTTAGCATTCTTGCACGCTATGTTGCTCCTCGGAGACACCGACCAGAGCACATGGCTCCAGCGAAGAGGGTGTTGCGCTACTTGTGCAGTACGTCGGGCATGGGACTAGTGCTTGGAGGGCGGATTCGCTTCTTGGGCTGACGACCAGGCTACGCAGCGGTCGTCACAGGGTTACACCTTCAGCCTTGGTTCCGGCTCTGTTTCGTGGCGGGCTACTCGCTCATCTTCTGTTCTCGGCTCCAGTTGTGAGGCTGAGATCTACGCAGGGGCCATGGCTGCTCAGGAGCTTCGCTGGCTCACCTACTTGCTGACCGACCTTGGAGAGCCGCCTCGTTCTCCTCTAGTCCTGTACGTCGACAACAAGGCCATGCTGGCCTTGTGTCGAGAGCAGAGACTGGAGCACAGAACAAAGCACATTGCTCTCCGCTACTTCCTTGCTCGTGAGCTACAGCAGCGTGGTCAGTTGCGACTTGCGTACGTGGCCTCTGAGGCCAACACTGCTGATGTTTTCACCAAGGCACTTCCGCCTTGTGATCATCAGCGCTGCTGTACCCAGCCGGGTCTTGTGTCTGTCTTGCCTCACTTGCTCTCCTCTTGACCCTCTTTGTACTGTTACATATATATATCACTGCTCTTGCTTGTTTAGTCTTATATATATATGTACTCCTGCATTTGAACTGGCCTTGTGGCCTTTGAACTTGTGCTCGGATTGTGTGGTGACATTGTGATCCAACTGAGCTTGCTTTGCTTTGCTTTACTTGACTGGTCTTGTGACCCCTAGTTCTCCCCCACTTCGCCGATGGGGGTGTGTCAAACATTATATATGTTGTTGTAGTTGTTTAGGCTACAGTGGGTTAGCCTATAGGGGGTACAGATTTCTAGGTTTCTATATTTGTACTCATTTCATTCTTAGTCATCTCATTCCTTGTTCAACAGAGATCACATGAGCACCCGTGCCTAGCCCGCAGTCTAGCTCCCGTTGTAGTAGTTAACTACGCAAACGGTCGCACCGCGGACCACGCCCTTCTCGTGCACAGCGCTGTCTTATCTGGAAGTACGGGACCAAATAACTTATGTGGCACTACCAATCGGTGTATCATATATAACTACTGAAGCTGAGATGACGGGCTCACGTTTCCATGTGATCCCCTTAACCATATTTTCATATCCTTGCAGCACATCTCCCATGTTGAGACCACGCCCATACGCCACAAACGAGTGCGAAGATTGCCACAAGGGTGGGTGATGCGTGAATCCTCATCTTAGTTTCTCTAGGAGTCTCGTTCTTGTCGACGGTTTCATTATTTCTATGGCAAATACTGTCATGAATCCATGCTGCCGTCCTAAATCTCCCCTTGCCTTGATGGTTGCTGACATTTTATTACCACAGGTTTAATTAGTACGTTGTGGAGACGGACAAGCTTATCACGGACGTTTTATCATCCAGGAAGCGTGCGGTATGTTTGAGGCGCATACGTTATTGTTTGCGCAGGACGATGAGTTGTTTCCAACCTCTGTAATCTATTTGTTATCAAGAGTACTGGCAGCACAATGCTGAGTGGCCTTGCTACTGAATTTGTAATTTCCCTTCCAGTTGCAGATTTGGAGATTACGATGTCGCTACGGAGAAGCCCCCCGGTCATACGGCAAGGTACGCATGCAATGCATTTGACAAAGTATGGAGTTTTGCATGGGAAGGGAGTGGGGCACGGATGGGAGGGGAAAAGGGGCGTTATCTGTTACAGATATGACCAAGGATTGGAGATGCCACTTTGGTTTTTGTGGAGTGGAACCTTGGAAGTAGAGGAGTAAGAGGAAGGGAGCAAGCTGGGGAAAGGTTTGGGATGATGTCAAAGCGGGTTTCGGCATGGGATTGCGCAGGATTGGGTCGTACTGTTCTGCCATGGGATGTGGATCAATGGGGCAAGGGGTGTGGCTGGTTTTGGCAGAAGTAGGTGCGAGCGTGGCTGGGAAGACGGGACGGAGATAGCGGGAAAGGGTGCGTGGCTGGTTGAGTGTGTGGTTCTGAACAGTGGGGAGAGGAGTGTGGATGGGTGACACATATAGTGTGGCTGGTACGAGGGTAAGGCACATGCAAGTATGGATAGCGGGGTGTGAAGCAGCGTGGGAGAGGATGATGGTGCAAAGAAGCATTGATGAGTGACGGGTGGGTGTTCAAAGAGGTGCGGGGTGGAGTTTGGATGGGTGACGTAGGGGGCCTGGATGGTTTGTGCGTCGTCATAGCACCCCTTTCGGTGTTGTAAGCGCCGGAATGGAGGGGTGTAACATAAATCACAAGAGGTAATCTCAATCTTGAGTGCGAAATGGGGGGAAAGGATCTGCATGTTGATGTAGCGACTATCCATGCATTGTATGGATCTGCATATGGTTGTCATGCGTTCTATGTTTTCATTTGTGCGGGTACTTTCTACCTCCTCCCTTGTCTTACTAGCTGCAGGGCTAAGGTCCGGACCACTGGGTCAGAAGACAGAGATTGTGGGGGAAGTTGAGGCTCATGCATAGCCACTCATCCCCTCTGGACATTCGAGGCCCGTGATTTTTCAGGAAATCTCAATGGCAGATGTGCATGTTGCATGATTTCTCAGGAAATCTCAAGAATATAATTCTGACAGTGCACTGATCGAGTCAAGTGTTCACATTGGGAAAATAGTACGTGTTCCATGGTTGTTTGCGATGCATGGTTCAAGTATTTATGCCTAAGATAGCTATGTAACGTACTGGAAATATGTGCCTGCATAGCAAGTCTTTGCAATAGACTCATAATGGCCTACTGTCATTGAACTGCATGTCATTCATCATCCGCTTTGGGTGCTATACCCTCCCACGAGCCCGCTTCGAAGTTTATGTTATCCGGGACCTCCCATGAGTGGCAAAACCTGTCAATGTCCTCCGCATAGCACTTTTCGTACCCCTCTCCACTGGTATCAGGATACAACAAACCTATTAACACATGAACTATCCACGGAAGGTTGACGTGTTCGTATAACTGCTCACCCAAGAGGTCCGAGTAATCCAAGTAACACCGGAACCTATGATGCTTTGGCTCCATTGGCATGTCATCCCATTTTTCACGTGTGTTGGCACCACAACAAACACGGATTATGTTTTCAACTGTGCGGCCTCGAACACTGTGGTGTTCTTGGCTGTCAAATGGCAGATTCAGAGCGGTTGCTTCCCACTGTTCAAGAACTTCATATTGCTTAAGAAACGCCTTGGACAAGTGGGGCATTGACCAACTGTACGCTGGAAGGAGCCAGATGGGGGGCTTCAGTGTGGGTTGGTGCTTGCGAAGGACGCGGGTGCAGGTCGGGTGTGTTGCGGAGGATGGGGGCTGTCATTCACGCACTGCGATGCCCTGTTGCCGGAGGCTGCACCCCTTCCAGCTTCACTCTCGTGCTCTTTGTCGACGTCTTCAGAGAGCAGCCCACGACGGCGCTTCAAGTGTAGCATTTCACTGCATGCAATGCAACACTCATGGTGGTGTGGTTAGACGCAATCAAAAGATACGGGACTGCATGTGTGAGTATGCAACCCACCTGGGGGTTAGACAACGCCGCGGTGCGGAGCGTCTTGTGGGTCGTGCGATGATGCCATTGTGCGGCGCAGTGAGGGGGGTAGAACACGCACCTGATGCTAGGATAGGGGGGGGGTGAGTGATAGGGGGCAGCCCGAAGGGGTGTGGATGGTGCAAGGCCTCATCCATGGCTCCGATGTGGGATGGAAGGCACGACATGTGCACTGGGGACCGGGGACAGAAGGGGGGCGCGGGAGGTGTGCACGCCTGATTCCCTGATTGGGAGAGAGGTGACGGGTGCGGGATGGAGCGTGGCTGGTCCAGGGCCTCATCTCTGGTGCATATGAGGGAAGGAAGGCACACCCGGCCCCTGGCTGGAGCTGGGATCCTGGACAGAGGGGGGGTGGGGGGGCTTGAAAAAAAGCTACTGAGGGGATTGATGGACATGGGGGCCGGGGATTGATAGACATGGGGGCTGGGCCTTGATAGACATGGGCGCAGGGGATTGATAGACATGGGAGCTGGGCCTTGATAGACATGGGCGCAGGGGATTGATAGACATGCGAGCAGGGGAGAGATACACATGGGGGCAGGGGAGAGATACACATGGGGGCAGGGGAGAGATACACATGGGGGCAGGGGAGAGATACACATGGGGGCAGGGGAGAGTTACACATGGGGGCAGGGGAGAGATACACATGGGGGCAGGGGAGAGATACACATGGGGGCAGGGGAGAGATACACATGGGGGCAGGGGAGAGATACACATGGGGGCAGGGGAGAGTTACACATGGGGGCAGGGGAGAGTTACACATGGGGGCAGGGGAGAGATACACATGGGGGCAGGGGAGAGTTACACATGGGGGCAGGGGAGAGTTACACATGGGGGCAGGGGAGAGATACACATGGGGGCAGGGGAGAGATACACATGGGGGCAGGGGAGAGATACACATGGGGGCAGGGGAGAGATACACATGGGGGCAGGGGAGAGATACACATGGGGGCAGGGAAGAGTTACACATGGGGGCAGGGGAGAGATACACATGGGGGCAGGGGAGAGTTACACATGGGGGCAGGGGAGAGATACACATGGGGGCAGGGGAGAGATACACATGGGGGCAGGGGAGAGATACACATGGGGGCAGGGGAGAGATACACATGGGGGCAGGGGAGAGATACACATGGGGGCAGGGGAGAGATACACATGGGGGCAGGGGAGAGATACACATGGGGGCAGGGGAGAGATACACATGGGGGCAGGGGAGAGATACACATGGGGGCAGGGGAGAGATACACATGGGGCAAGGGCAGAGATACACATGGGGGCAAGGGAGAGATACACATGGGGGCAGGAGAGAGATACACATGGGGCAAGGGGAGAGATACACATGGGGGCAGGGGAGAGATACACGTGGGGGCAGGGGAGAGGTACACATGGGGCAAGGGCAGAGATACACATGGGGGCAGGGGAGAGATACACGTGGGGGCAGGGGAGAGATACACATGGGGCAAGGGCAGAGATACACATGGGGGCAAGGGAGAGATACACGTGGGGGCAGGGGAGAGGTACACATGGGGGCAGGGGAGAGATACACATGGGGGCAGGGGAGAGTTACACATGGGGGCAGGGGCTAGATACACATGGGGGCAGGGGGGAGATACACATGGGGCTAGGGGGGAGATACACATGGGGGCAGGGGATTGATTCGCGTGGGGGAAGGGGAAAGACACCGTGGAGCCAGGGGGGAAGGGGTGTGAGACTGTGGGGGCAGGGTAGTAATACCATGGGGGAGGGGAGGTGGGGGAATCAGTGCAGGAGGGGGGAAATGGAGTGCCATTGTGGGGGTAAGGGTGTGTGAAGCAAGGGGTCTAAGGGCGTGACATACGTGTAGACAAGGGAGAGCTATCGAGGGGGAAGGGGATTGCAAAACGTGGGGGCAAGGTAGTGCGAAAGGAGGGGGATAGGGAGTGCTATCGAGGGAGCGAGCGAACAGGAAAGAGGGGGAAATGGCGGACAGTCGAGGGGGAAAGGGCGTGCGACACGCAGGGGAACGGGAGGGAAGGGAGGGAACGGAGGGCACGGAGGGAAGGGAGGTAACGGGGGGAACGGAGGGAAGGGAGGGAAGGAGGGAAGCGGAGGGCACGAGGGCACGGAGGGAACGAAGGGAACGGAGGGCACGGAGGGAAGGAGGAAAGCGAGGGACGGGAGAGAAGGGAAGGAAAGGAGAGACGGGAGAGCAGGGAGAGAAGGGATGGATGGGAGAAAGGGAGGGAAGGGAGGGAAGGGAGAGAAGGGAGGGATTGGAGGGAAAGGAGGGAGGGGAGGGGAGGGAAGGAAGGGAGAGAAGGGAGGGAAGGGAGTTAAGGAGGGAAGGGAGGGACGGGAGGGAAGGGAGGGAAGGAGGGAAGGGAGGGACGGGATAGAAGGGAGGGAAGGGAGAGACGGAAGATTGGAAGTCGGGATGAGTCTCGAAGGGAGAAAAGGGTGGTAGGGGGGGAGAGATGGGCGGGATGGGAGAGAAGGTCGAAAATGGAGAGAAGGGAGGGAAGGGGGGGAAGGGAGGGACGGGAGAGAAGGGAGAGAAAAGAGAGAAGGGAGAGAAGGGAGAGAAAAGAGAGAAGGGAGAGAAAAGAGAGAAGGGAGAGAAAAGAGAGAAGGGAGAGAAAAGAGAGAAGGGAGAGAAAAGAGAGAAGGGAGAGAAAGGAGAGAAGGGAGAGAAAAGAGAGAAGGGAGAGAAAAGAGAGAAGGGAGAGAAAAGAGAGAAGGGAGAGAAAAGAGAGAAGGGAGAGAAAAGAGAGAAGGGAGAGAAAAGAGAGAAGGGAGAGAAAAGAGAGAAGGGAGAGACAGGAGATTGCAAGGAGGGATGAGAGGGAAGGGAGAAAAGGGAGAGAAGGTAAGGGGGGAGAGAAGGGCAGGAATGGAGAGAAAGGAGGGAAGGGAGGGAAGGGAGAGAAGGGAGGGAAGGGAGAGAAGGGAGGGAAGGGAGGGCAAGAGGGAAGGGAGGGACGGGAGAGAAGGGAGGGAAAGGAGAGGCGGGAGAGAAGGAATTCGGGATGAGATGGGAGGGAGGAAAGGGTGGTAGAGGGGGAGAGATGGGCGGGAAGGGAGAGAAGGTAGAAAATGGAGAGAAGGGAGGAAATGGAGTGAAGGGAGGGACGGGTGAGAAGGAAGGGAAAGGAGAGATGGGAGAGCAGGGAGAGAAGGGAGAGAAGGGAGAGAGGGAGTGAAGGGAGAGAGGGGGGAGAAGGGAGGGATTGGAGGGAAAGGAGGGAGGGGACGGAAGGGAGGGAAGGGAGAGAAGGGAGGGAAGGGAGGGAAGGAGGGAAGGGGGAGAAGGGAGAGAAGGGAGGGAAGGGAGTTAAGGAGGGAAGGGAGGGACGGAGGGAAGGGAGGGAAGGGAGAGTTGGAAGATCGGAAGTCAGGATGTGACAGAAGGGAGAAAAGGGTGGTAGGGGGGGAGAGATGGGTGGGAAGGGAGAGAAGGTAGAAAATGGAGAGAAGGGAGGGAAGGGAGGGAAGGGAGGGAAGGGAGGGACGGGTGAGAAGGAAGGGAAAGGAGAGATGGGAGAGCAGGGAGAGAAGGGAGAGAAGGGAGAGAGGGAGTGAAGGGAGAGAGGGGGGAGAAGGGAGGGATTGGAGGGAAAGGAGGGAAGGGGCAGAAGGGAGGGAAGGGAGAGAAGGGAGGGAAGGGAGGGAAGGAGGGAAGGGGGAGAAGGGAGAGAAGGGAGAGGAGGGAAGGGAGTTAAGGAGGGAAGGGAGGTACGGGAGGGAAGGGAGGGAAGGGAGAGTTGGAAGATTGGAAGTCAGGATGAGACGGAAGGGAGAAAAGGGTGGTAGGGGGGGAGAGATGGGCGGGAAGGGAGAGAAGGGAGGGAAGGGATGGAAGGGAGGGAAGGGAGGGACGGGTGAGAAGGAAGGGAAAGGAGAGATGGGAGATCAGGGAGAGAAGGCAGAGAAGGGAGAGAGGGAGTGAAGGGAGAGAGGGGGGAGAAGGGAGGGATTGGAGGGAAAGGAGGGAGGGGACGGAAGGGAGGGAAGGGAGAGAAGGGAGGGAAGGGAGGGAAGGAGGGAAGGGGGAGAAGGGAGGGAAGGAGGGAAGGAGGGAAGGGGGAGAAGGGAGGGAAGGAGGGAAGGAGGGAAGGGGGAGAAGGGAAGGAAGGAGGGAAGGAGGGAAGGAGGGAAGGGGGAGAAGGGAGGGAAGGAGGGAAGGAGGGAAGGAGGGAAGGGGGAGGGAACTTCCCAAAATGTTACCTTTCCACTCCTAGCAATGCCTAATCACATGCTCCTATCCTGTCGCCCCCATCGCGTTATCTTGTCGTCCCGTACTCTAATACTCATCCAAAAATGTATCTGTTCCTAATAGCATATTAGTTTTCGCGCCAGCTGTAGGTAGCGAAGTCTTTACGATTCTATATATTTATATATATTTTTAATATAAATACCTGTTATGAACCTTTCTGTGGCAGAAAGCGAATATCATCGCAGAGGGCGATTCTTCAGCGACAAAACGCTAGTCAACTATGGTGATTCATTTGTTCTTTTAGTGCTGATGTTATTTCATGTAAATATATCAACCTGTCTTTCCCCCACTGCAATCTCTTAAAGCCGTCTTCTCTTGCAGATTGTTGTTTCATTTTCCAGACTTTGCAATTTCTTCTATCTTTCCGCCATTGCGATCTATAAATTCACACATCCTTGCAGATTGTTGGTTCGTTTTCTTTACTTTGCGATACCGTATCTCCTATGTTTCCCCCGTTGCGATCTATGAAGTCACCTTCCCTTGCAGATTGTTGTCTTTTTTTTTTCTGAACTTTGCAATCTACATTTCTTGTATCACGTTTCTTTGCTTACTCGTAGGACAGAGATTGAAGGTATTGGAGGTTGTTTGTGTCAACGTTGATCGATGTTCGTGTTGGTTATGTGAGAATCTGAGGAAGGAATGATTGCATTGAGCAGCATGAGGAGTACAAGTAGGAAACCCTAAAGTGTTGTACCCCATATTGACTACCCCACTACAACCTAAACAGACTATAGCATATATAGTTCGACACACCCCCATAGGCAAAGTGGGGGAGAACAAGGGGTCACAAGACCAGTCAAGAGAAGCAAGGCAAGCCCAGGGTGGATCACAACGTCACCACACAATCTGAGCACAAGCACAAGGCCACAAGGCCAGTTCACATGCGGAGTTATACATCAAGAAGAACAAGCAAGGCAGTGATCACAACCTAGCAAGAGTATGCATGCAAGTGCAGGTATATATAGATCACAGTACAAGCAAAGTCAAGAGGTGAGCAAGTGAGGCCAAGTAGGCACAAGACCTAGCAAAGTACACAAGAGCTGATGATCACAAGGCGGAAGTGCCTTGGTAAAGATATCAGCAGTGTTGGCCTCAGAGGCCACCTAAGCAAGGCCCAGCTGACCCCGCTGCTGCAGCTCACGAGCAAGGAAGTAGCGAAGAGCAATGTGCTTCGTTCTGTGCTCCAGTCTGTGCTCCCGACACAAGGCCAACATGGCCATATTGTCAACGTATAGAACAGGAGGAGAACGAGGCTGCTCTCCAAGGTCGGTCAGCAGGAAGGTGAGCCAGCGTAGCTCTTGTGCAGCCATGGCCCCTGCATAGATCTCAGCCTCACAGCTGGAGCCGAGAACAGAAGACGAGCGGGTAGACCGCCACGAGCCAGAGCCGGAACCAAGGCTGAAGGTGTAACCCTGTGACGACCGCTGCGTAGCCTGGTCGTCAGCCCAAGAAGCGTCTGCGTGACCAGTGAGGACCACTGGACGTCGCCCTCCAAGCACTAGCCCCATGCCCGACGTATTGCACAAGTCGCGCAACACCCTCTTCGCTGCAGCCATGTGCTCTGGTCGGTGTCTCCCGGGAGCCACATAGCGTGCCAAGATGCTAAGAGGGTATGCTAGGTAAGGTCGTGTGCAGGTCATCAGGTACATGAGGCAGCCAACAAGCTCTGGGTACGTGCCACTCGGCTCTACGGACTCATCCGAAGGCAGAGCTGAGAGCGAGTGGCGAGTAGACAGAGGAGTGGCCTGAGGCAAGGAGTACCTGAATTCGAAGCGCTGAAGGACCTGCTGCACCATGTGTGACTGAGTCAGGGTAATGGTGCGCTGTGCTCTGTCCCAGGTGATCTGCAAGCCAAGGTAGCAGCCCAGTTCACCCAGGTCTGTGCACGTGTGTCTCTTCTACAGCTCGGACTTCACGTAGGCGAGTCCAGCAGTGTCACCAGTGGCGAAGACCAAGTCGTCGACGTACACGAGGATGTAGAACGGCGGCAAAGAGGTGTCGGTGCGCACAAACAGCGACGGGTCTGCAGTAGAAGGAGCAAACCCAAGAGCCGCAAGTGTAGTCCTCATTGTGTCGTGCCACTCACGGGGCGCCTGGCGGAGACCGTAGACAGGCCGCCGGAGGCTCCACTGGGTACCAGGAGGGAACGACCCAGTGAAGCCAGGTGGGCGGCGCAGCCAGATCTCCTCGTGCAGGCTGCCCTGCAGGAAAGCTGTGTTGAAGTCAAGAGAGTGAAGCTCGTAGTCGCGCTGAGCGGCTATGTGCAGCAACACCCGAAGAGTGGTCATCTTCGGGGTGGGATAGAAGGTCTGAAAGTAGTCAACTCCCTGCCGCCGACTGAAGCCTCGAGCCACGTAAGACGCCTTAAAGACAGGCGGAGAACCCGGCGGTCGCTTCACCCTGAAGATCCACATGCCATTGACGATGTTCGCCCCAGGTGGGGGAACCTCGTCAACGTAGGTGCCTGTGGACCTCCAGGAAGCCATCTCTGCGTCCATGGCTGACTGCCACTATGAGGAGTAGGGACCCTCGATCGTCTCAGCGTACGATCGAGGAGTCGGGATGTCTGGTGCATCCGGGTCTCCCTCAAGGGCAATCATAGTGGACACGAGATGAGGCAAAGCAGCAGCAAAACACTGGAACTCCTACTGCCTGTCCTCAAGGACGTCCGTGCTAAGAGCACACTCGCCCCCGACGGACGGAGGACAGACAGACTCAGACGCAGCAACAAGACTAGCAGCGTAGTCTAGATAACAGCGAGCAGCAAAGTCGACAAGCTCAACAACTAAGGCAGACGCAGCAGTGGAATCAAACGAAGGGTCAATGACAACAGTAGCTAGGAGACGCGCGATAGTAGGACTGGCAGCACGAAGAGAGTCAGACTCAGGGTCAGCAAGAGTAGGAAGAGAGGACTCTGAAGGAGACGCCAACGGGACACGTAGAGGAGCAGTGGAAGGACGCAGTGCCATCTGGTGTGTGCCGGGGACCGCAGGAGGACGCGGACGTGGAGCACGACCACTAGTGCGAGCAGCACGAACGGGCGACGCAGGACAAGACGCAGGCTCACGACGCTCAGCAAGACCTCCACTATGACCAGTGTAGGGAGAAGGAGCAAGCAGGGGGGAGGCAGGCTGTAACTGTGACCGCGTTTGGACAGGCTGTGGACACACTAAGGGAGGAGCAGGACCAGTAGAAGGCGGGAGACCAAGAACCTGCTCAAGAAGCGGAACGAAGTACGGCCTCGGCCGCGCAGCGCCTCCAAAACCAGCAGAGACAGCACCAGTACCCCCAGCGGCAGCACCAGCGCCAGCAGCACCTCCAGCTCCATTAGCGCCAACTCCAGCACACTCAGAAGCACCAGCGCCAGCAGAACCACCAGCTCCAGCAGAACCACCACCACGGCTCCAGCGCCGGGCAAACCACTCGAACAGCTCCTACGGAGAGAGGGGCTCCCGCCTCCACGAAACACCGCCAGAGGCCATACGAGTAGACCCAGCTCCCCCAGGCTGCGCACCCCCAGGCTCAGCACCCCCAGGCTCCGCACCCCCAGGCTCAGCAACCCCAGGCTCCGCACCCCGAGACTCAGAACCCCCAGGCTTAGCACTTCGAGACCCAGCACCCCCAGGCTCCGCACTCCCAGACCCGGTACCCGCAGGCGCAGCGCCCCTAGCAGCACCAGAGTGAACATCTACCTCGACAGGCTCAACTGCGTCTACCTGGGACACACCTGACGGGGCAGAACCCTGAGGGGGGAGGGGGTCTACCGGGGGAGGACCTATCGCAAGGAAGAGCGGCGGCGGGGGGGGAGGGGGGGACGCAGTGCGGTAGGGGAAGAGACGGTAGTAAGGCTCCGACTCGTCAAAGGTGACGTCCTGAGAGGACAGAACACGGCGCAAGGTGGGATGGTAGAACCGCCAACCAGGCGCGTCAGGGGGGAAGCCAAGGAAGACGCAGGGAACAGCACGAGGGGACAGCTTGTCCGAAGATAAGTCGCGGACAATCGCCCGAGATCCCCAGAACCGAAACGCAGACGCATCGCCAACCTTCCCCGTCCACCGCAAGGTGGGGGAGGTCTGTGGCAAGGAGACCCGGGGCTGAAGGTTGAGCTGATGGGCTGTGTACTGAACCGCAAACGACCATATAAAATGGGGACCAGCCGCATGGATCATGGACGTACGAGCGACGTCCATGACCATGCCAATGCGGCGCTAAGCAATCCCATTTTTCTGTGGAGAGGCCGGGAGCGTGAAGGTCTGGCGGATGCCCTGTGCATGACAGAAGGCTCCCAGACGGGCAGAGGAAAACTCCCCGCCCCTGTCAGAGTGCAGACGCAGAACAGGAAAGTCTGAGCCGAAACTCTCACTGAGCTGGAGACGAGCTGCGCGGATCCAGTTGATCAGCACCTCAGTGACGTCACCCTTGCTACGCAAGGGGAACACTGTGGTGTAACGCGAGAAGTCGTCAACCACCAACAGGAAGTAACGCTCGTGACCCTGGCCACGGACGCGGGCGGGGCCCCACACGTCCATGTGAAGAGTCTGCAGAGGAGCCTCTGTCGGAGGAAACTCGGAGGAGTGAGGAGCGGCGCGCTGCCGCCCCTCGACGCAGGGGACGCAGGTAGGGGCCGGCCCCGGAGGTAGGGGAGGGAGGGACCGGGGGAGACCAGAGACAAGGACACGGGAGGCCATGCCTCGGAGACGAGGCAGGGAGGGGTGACCAAGGCGGTGGTGCTTTAGGATAGTCTGGTGGGACAGGAGACGACACGAGCAGGGAGCAGACTCAAGACCGGACCTGAACGCTGCAGCAAATACCTGACTTGACGCAATTACCTGACCATGCTCAGGAACAGGAGGAGACTCAGTGGTCAGTGTGTACAGGCTCAACCCCGGCTGACGGGTAAACGCGGCCAAGTGTCGGCCCGTCCGAGCACACGTACAGTGGGTCACCCGCTGACTCGCAGGTGTGATCTGGTCAACCCCCCGATCCTGTAGATCAGCTCCACTGACCAAGTTCGTAGAGAACGAGGGGAGGTAGAGACCTGACAGAGTGCCAGAGGGGGCTGCCGGGCACGGTAAGACAGTGGAGAAGCTAGCAAGGACAGGACCCCCAAAGGGGTCTGCCAAGGAGACCGCAACCGGCCGACTAAACGGCGCAAGCGTGGTGCGGTCTCGAAAGAAGGAGCGGGAAGCACCCAAGTCAAGGGTGAAGGTGTGCAAGGCCTGAGCCGACGTAGTACCTGAGAGAGCAGACTCACCAGCACCTGGGGCAGCAGACGCACTAGCACCAGGAGAAGCAGCCTCACCAGCACCTAAAGCAGCAGCCTCAATGCCCGGG